TGTTTGGGGAGGAAAGGCTTGGGTCGGGTTTGGCGGAGAAGTGGTCTGGAGCAGGAGGAAAACGCGAAGAAAACAAGGGCCTGTTAGCTTGCTGGGGTTCCCCGTGGAAGAGTAGGAAAGCGAAGCCGAGGGAGAGGTGGAACTGAAGTGGTTTCCCAGGTGAAGAAGAGGCGGCGAGAGAAGGGGAGAGCGCCGAGGAGGTGGGGTTGAGTGCATGGGACTACAGGCTGAAAGTAGTGGAGAAATCTGGGGCGCGGAAGTTGGTTACGTTTCTGTGGTGTGACGGGGCAAGGGGGAAGGAGGCAGTTAAGGTAGAAGAAAGTGTGGATAGAAGTAAGGGGGTGCAAGAGGACGTTAGGGGAAAGAGGGGGTTTGTAGAAGGACCAGGAAAGCAGTGGAGAAGAGGAAGTGGAAGTAAAACCCGGAGTGTTCTGGGGTATAGAATCCATAAAATCACATACGAGGGAGATGAAGAATGACCCTTTGACAGTGCCTGTTGCTCTCAGCCAGAGCCCTCTATCACATCTGGTACGTTCATGAACGAGGTGCCAGAACCAAACCTCTCATCCTTGGTAAGGATCTACAGCGTTCTGGTCAGTGTGGGGCTCTCCGTGGCTGCACACAACTAAACTGAGTATGGAAGTCCTTTATGGTGACTTAGACATCTAAGGATTTTTCTTTCAGTTAAAACTTTTTGGTTTATCTTTGGTGTGTTGAATTTTATCTCAATACGTGTAAGCCTGAAACGTTTGTTCATAGTTTAAGGAAAAGCTGAGAAAGGTTTGATTTAAGGGACTGGTGCCCCCCGTCCATACGTAGGGAATACAGCTGTACCCTGCCTACCACCACTCTGGCCTGGAGGCACTGACCTCTCCTTGGGGAAGAAAGGTAGCTGATTTTTGGCTGCCAATGTCTTATAAATAAAAGCCTGAAAAGGCATAGCAGAAAACTAGCAGTCCCATACTGGTTTAATTTGTTTGCACTTTATATTATCTGTTCATAAAATTGGGGCTATCTTTATGGTAGTGCTGGTCTTCGTTAGGTATAAATGTTGAAGTACTTCTGTGCAACGTGTAGCTGAGAAGTCAGGTTCAGATCACAGCAAGTAACTTTGTTATCTTTAGCGAGACCTTTGTGGTCAACCCGAACAGCATCTAGTCATAATATTTTTGTTTTGGAGTGTTTCAGGTCAAGATGCAGAATCAGTTACAGCTGTTTCAGTCATTGTCTTCCAGACAGTATATTATGTCATGGGTGAAACTATAGGAAGAAGTCTGAAACATTTTTCAGAGTCTTTAGACTGTTTCTGTCTCACCTTTGTATATGTGAGCGGTAATGTAGAACCTGTTGTCTTAAACTGGGAAGAAATTACTAGAGTAGCTAAAGCTGAAGTTGTTTAGACTTGATGTAAGCTTCATTGCAAAACTACCAGAGGATTTACATAGGTTAACTTGCAGTTGCAGGAAAGAGATGAGGTGGTTCATTTCACTTCTGAGTTCATCTCTCCAGAGGCCTATCTGGTTGTGTAGCTGAGGTTAAATTGCCTGAGGTTTGGGGATTTGTTTGTTTGTTTGTTTCTTTGTTTATAAATGATTTGCTACTTTGTGTTTTTTTTAAATACTTAACAAGTCATTCTTTACCTCATTTAGACACTGAGGATGCCAGTGAAACTGACCTGGCAAAACACGAGGAAGAGGACTTTGTAGAAATGAAAGAACAGTAAGTAACCCATTCTAATCAAAAGTAAGGTAATGTTCTCTTTATTTGTTTTTTTTGTGTGTGTGTGTAAAACTTTGCAATGTTTTGGGCCAAGATTGGGGTTTTTAAGTGCCTAGCCCAATGTAATAGCTAATACTTGTAGCTAATACTAATTTCTTCTCTCCTCAGTTACTTTCTCTGTTCTATATGTATTCAAGAAATTAAGTGCTGCTACTGTTTTGAACAAAGAAATAGGTACGAGTTTCTGGGAGCAGCTGAGTTTTGCTGCAAATGAATCCCGCTGCAGACAGATCCTTCAAATAAAATAAAAGATCTACTTTACATAAACCAAGCAAAAAGCAAGATGCCTGTTAAAGCCCCTTGTACAATAGGATGCAAGTCCTGTCCAAGAAGATGGGCTTTTTGGAGACTTGAAAGAGTTTCCTTTGATGTTTAAGTGTATTTGTAGTATTTTGTGTTCTTGCTTACTGGCAGAGACATGTTTTTATACAGGTCAGGAAGACTTGGCCTGTGTTAAACCACAGATAGGTGAGAAAGGAAATGCAAGTTTGCAACAGCACCAGGAATAGACTTTGGGGCTTTTTATAATGTCAGGATCTACACGAGGAAATGCCTTCTGTTTTATAAGTAGGGAACTAATACACAAATATTAAGACTTGAAAGTGGCAGAATGATTCTGGTGTAAAGCTTCTGGTGTCTGTAGATCTAAATGTCATTTTAGATTTCGACATTTAAAAAAAAAAAAAATCCTATTTCACCCTGAACTGTTTCCAAAATAATTGGTTTGGGTGCATTGTAAAACCAATGGGGTGGCAGAGTTTTTAGACAGAATGATAACCTTTCATTTGAATAATATTCTTTTAGTTGTTGTTTGTTTGTTTCCTGAAGTTCTTCTGAAAAGTTTTTAATTCCGTGTAAACACAGAATTGTAACCTACCTAAACAGATGGTGAAATAAATGATGTATGTTTGCTTTTCAAAGTAAAGTTGTGTGCTCTCGATCTTTGCAGGATGTATCAGGACAAACTGGCGTCTCTGAAGAGGCAGTTACAACAATTGCAGGAAGGTAAGCTTTGAAGGGGATAGCTTTTTTTCCTAAAGAATTTTCAGCACTTTTCAAAGGTCATAGAAGGATGAGGGTTTTGAAAGATGTAAGCAGCATCCTTCACTGAATGGTGGCTCTCAGTCATGCTGCTTAGTGAAAAGCGTCAGCCACCTTCCATCCTTTTTCCCTCTAAACACTTGTAGTTAAGCCTCTGTGTACTAAAGCATTTCTTAAAAGGAGTGGTCAGCTTTCTGAAAAAATGGGAAATGTGCTTATCAAAATAAGCAAACTAGAACTGTAGTTTTCTGATTTCAGATATTAGTATTTGTGTTTCAAGTGGTGTATGGCTCCTTGAGAAAATTTAATACTTGGAAAAAATAAAATTCCTGTGAGAATCCACAATTTATTTCAACTAGGTACTCTTCAGGAATATCAGAAAAGAATGAAAAAGTTGGACCAGCAGTACAAAGAAAGGATACGAAACGCAGGTAAGCTGAATTTCTTTCTAAGATGCTTCATACAACTTAAATCAATGGTTTCTATAACACCTGAAGAAGAATAATGGTAATTCTGTCCTTTAAAGGAAAGGAGCTTGCTGGAGCAAAGGGTTCTTCTGCTTCTGAGGGTATAGTGTAGGTTTTTTGAGAGTGGGTGATGGGATCAATCTTGATTTTTTTTCAATTTTTTTTCCTTCATCAACATTGTTTGCTGACTGTTTACTAAACACCAATAAACAGTCTTAGTCTTCATTTGTGTGAAAAAGCACAAGTAAAAAAAATTGTTTCATTTTTATCTGGTGCTGTTCCTAACCTGCAGTCTCCCACTTTGGCTTGTTCTTTTGTGCAACTTGTCTGAAACCTTCAGATGCACCGTTTCTTTCAGTTTGCAGGACTGGAAAAAAATACATGCTTTCCCAAAGATTTGTTTTGCGCCCTGGAACAATGAATACAGAGGGTTTGCTGCTGAAACTGTTATTCTGTCTAGCTCTGACACTGAATGGGCTGCCTGTACTTTGTCTTCTGGCGCTCTGTTTCAGGAGCGAAGGCCCGAGTTAATTTTTAGAGTGCCTAGCTCTCATCCCTTCTGGGCAGCCTTTATTGTGTTACTGCAGAGAAATGGCTTGGAAATCAGATCTGTTTGCTTGCCCTCCCTCTTCCTCGTTTGCTCTCTTTCCAGTAGGTTCTTATCTCGGATACTGAAGCAGGGCCTTTTATAGAAGCTATTATGTGGAAATAGGAAATGTAGCTGTTCTTCCTTTAGAAAAGTTGGATGAATCCTGTAATGCCTGAGCCATTACTCTGCGAAATATGACAGAGAGGCAGTGGCAGTTATGTGATGGCTAACGTACTCCAGCCTTTGAATAGTATAGATTGTATCTCTCTAAAAGTGCTTGGGATGGTAAAGGATTTCCTTGAGGAATTTAAGTGAATTGAACTACTTCTTGTTAACAGGAATCTGTCTTCCGAGATGAATTTCATGTACACTAGAGCTGCATTCTAGCAATATTGGGTTGCTTTGGTAAAATTAAGACTAACCGCAAACTTATATTTCTGGCTGGCAAAGACCAGTGCTGCAGTGACATATTTCTTCCACAGGAGGGCAGATGGTGATAACTTTCAATTTTATGATTTAAAAAAAAAATCCAACTGCCCAGTACTACAGGAATAATGGTCTTTTATGTTTATCCTTCCCATGTTGAGGTTTTGGGGGTGGGTTTTTTAAGAATTCACAGATATTAAAGCAACAGTTTAGATTTACTTGTATTTGATTACCTCCATAATACTGCTTCCATTCTCAATTGGTAGAGCCTTTTGCAAACAAAAGGTTTGACTTTTATTGGGCCATTATCATCTTTGGTTTCTATTTTGTTGTTTTTTAAAATTATTTAAAAATAAAAAAGGCACAGTAGTACAGTGTTGCTACTACGGTCTTCTCCAAAACATATTTGAAGCCTGTGATCTTTACAGAAGTTTTTACTATTTCAAGTCTTGCCAAAGCTTAATATGCTGGTGAAATATGGTGACTTGAGGACTGATCAGGTGCCTCAGTTGGCTTTTCTTGCCATTACCTTGAGTAAAAACTTAGGCATTATGTCCTTTAGGAAACACAAGAAGGGTCCCGTCCTGCTTAATTTCAAGTTGTTAGGAATAGCACAAACATCCGTAGCAGGACTATTTCACAGCCAGAAATCCATTCGCCTCATCCATCGGTCTGTCTTGAACTCATCATGGCCACGTGTTAGAACATAACCTTCAGTAGATATATAACGATTTCCTTGCTTGTTTTCTCAGGCATGAACAGCCTGAAATCAGAGACATGTGAGTTGAGTAGATGAATCTTCTAACAGCTGCAGAATTATTTCTGAACCAGTCATTGCTGAAATTCATGAAAATGGCTTAAACTGTGAATTTTTGCCAGCCATACACTCAGCTACATGTTTCAAGCTTCTGTCTGGGAAGCTTATATCTAGTATTAATTGATTGTAATTAAGCTGGAAGAAAGATGGACTACATGCTTAGTACTGCTGGGAATAGTAGCTGAACTGAATAGTGTGGAATACTGCTGTGTAAGCTTTGCAAATCTGCTTGACAATCTGTGGAAAACTTCAATTAACAATACATTCTTGTGGAATTTTTCCATAGTTACTGTATTTTCAGCATAAAACTGTGAAGTGAGAGTAGAGTTTGGATGAGTACGTACACTACTTAGTTCACTGCCTCTCTTGGCTGCAATATTCAATGACTTAAACTGTTAGGGAACTCATTTTGTGCATCTGAAGATAATAAATTGAGTCTGTCTTCTCTTTCAGAACTGTTCCTCCAGCTGGAAGTAAGTACTCTTAATTTATCAAAATATATATTAACTAGATGGAAGAGCTATAAACCTCCTGTTTCATCAACTAGTACTTGTGCTTCTTTTCCCAGAAGGCTTAAAGAAATTTTCTTCCTCTAGGTAGCATTATTACACTTGAGATGCAGTACAGCCTACTGTTGGTATTACTTCAAGTAACTTCTGGACTTTGTCATTAAAATAGAATTAAAAGAAATATTTGCTTGTGGGCTGCTATATGCTGGCTGTGCATTTGGCTTGTTTAAAAAGCTTGTTTAAGTGATAGTGCTGTTTATAAATTTGAAGAGCTCTCTGCTGGAGACTTGATATGGTATGCAACAATAAAATGTTTTTCAAAAACAATTAATTCTTTTGCCAATATAGTACTGCTTTCCTAGTCATTTCTAGATGGTTTTCTGCTGATTATGAATATTGATAATCTTTAGAACTGGCTACAGTTTTGAACTGAAAAGCTACTCAATACAGCAGTTGAAAGAAGGTGTTGTGTTATCATTAACTTGACCTATTGATACCTTAGTTAACCTTTTTGTTCTTTTGGTTTGCATTAGACGGATCAGGTGGAAAAAAATTACGTCAAGGAAAAGAAGGCAGCAGCCAAGGAGTTTGAAGATAAGAAAATTGAGCTTAAGGAAAATTTGATTGCAGAGTTGGAAGAGAAAAAGAAGATGATTGAGAATGAAAAGCTAACCATGGAATTAACAGGAGGTAAAAATAAGACAGGCATCTGTCATTTCTCTTATCCACTCTGCTACTGCTTAGAAAAAAAGATATAAAGGTAGCAATGCTGGTTTATACAGGCAGCTAGTGTGAAGGCTTTAAAGCTTTCCAAATGCTGTAGAACACAATTTGGTGGTCTTTTAATGGAGGAAGCAGTTCATAATAAAATTTAGTGACCTGAATTACTAACAGGTGAATCAAAATAGTGCCAGTGAAGCAGCAGAGTGGCTAGGCTTTCTTATATGCAGGGAAAGGGACTTCTTTAGTTCCTGTGATCTGGCAATAAAACTATTGAGATAAGCCACAATATCGACCTAACCGGCAGTGCCAGGTTGTAAACTGTCCCCGTTTTTTTCCCTCCAGTAATAGGTGGTCAAGAAGTTGAAGGAAGGCAAACAACAAAGGTTGAAATGTGCTACTTAAAGCCAGAAAAATAGATTTGTGAGCTACATTTGTGTCCAGGCTCTAGAAAATGGACATTAAATGGACAGACTTCTTTCATGAGACCAGTTGGTACCCTTGGTGCCTTGGCAATGCTCTTTGCAGTAATTGACACAGTGGAGCTATGCAGAGGGGTAATTAGCCTCCAACACAAATTGTGTTGCTGTGATACTGAACCAAAAGTCTGATTTGATTCTCTTTTTACGAGCAACTCCCTCGCTTCTTGGACAGATAATGCTGGTTGTGTTGCTGAGGCCTGTCCATGAGTTAGACCTTTTATATCTTTCTTGCATAGTATCTACAGAAATTATGTAAGCTAATAATTTAATTAGTGTTCAGAAGCAAGAATTAAAACCTGTTTGGACATACTGAAGATGCTCTTGGCTTTGTACAAACTGTTAGGGCTAAGCTGGTCTGGAAAACAGCTTGGGTTATGCTGTCCCTGATTTTTTTTTTTTTTTTAAATTATGAAGTCTAGTCTGATCTTACAAACTGTGCCTTAGCCTTAACTTTCCTATTGTTATCCTACGCCTGTGTCTGTTCACTACTAAGCTGGGATACAGTACTAATCTTGTAAGCAGATTTTCATTAGCAGGTCAGGATCCAACTAGATCTTACCTTTGGAAATCTGCATACCAATGTTCTAGGAGTCTGAAGGAATCCAATTTCTCTGTCAGTGGAACAGCTGTTAACTCTGCAAATCCAAATCCTGATGTTAAAGGGAGAGTGAGGAGGGGTAAAAAGAAGTATTTAGTAGTTTGATTTGGGGATCAGATTAATCCTCTTCAGGAAAATGTGTCCCCCCATTGTTGTGTGTCCTGAAGGGATGAGCTGTTTCATCAAATACAACTCTAGGAAAAGGCATGTAAGTAACTGTGGAGAAGAGATCCATTCTGTGTGTGTTAGCCCTCCCTTATCTCCTTCCTTCCAGACTAGCAGAAATGCAATGTGATTTCTTTAGAAGTAATGGATTTTGTTGTGAACATGTGCTGGAGGCTAAGAAATAAGAATACTGGAACTGATGTGGACTCGATGGTTTTTTTAAGACGTATGGAAGTTCAGTGTATACAAGGATGCAAGTTAGCAACCTGATGAATAGGCCCGTCTGCGAGTGCTGGGAGAGTTGCAGTTTCATTAGGTTGCAATAGCTGTCTCCTGTTCTGGAGCATTGTATAGTGTGGTTCTTAACTATTAAGCCTCATGCAAGACTGTGTTTCGGGTTAAATCTGTTGGTGCTTTAGCAGCTCTTTAAAACTGTTTAACATATGCTTAACAGTAAGTGTAAGATTCAAACTCTGGATTTTTTTCCTGAAAACTTGTTTGGTGCTGACTTTCAGCTGACTCATCACAATTTTAAGATACAGGATGCTAAGATAAAGAGAGAAGAAAATTGATCTCTCTGCCTTATTCACATTTTAAAGGTAACTCTGTGACAACTCATTTGAAACTAGTTTTTAAAAAGGAGAAAAAGCCTTCTTGACTTGGCTGCATATCACCTTGAGTAAGTGCTTCAAACCCCTCTTCTGAGGCTCTTGTAAATTGGTCTTAAATGAGAAGAACGGCTTACATTCAACACAGTAAGTTACGTTTTTAGTGTCTGCAGGGCTATTAATGTTCAGTGTTTTTCAAATTCAGCTTTGAATCCTAGAGATAAGGTTTCCTTTGGCATACACTTGGTGGGTGGCACTTCATAGTTTTTTTTTTAAAGCTTTTATCATAATATTTGTTCCCTTGATGTGCAGCACGGTCATCCTTGTTCACCCTTGAGATAAGGAGAAAAGTAATTTGGTATATTTTGAACATGCATAGCTGCTCAAGATTTTAGCATCTAGAGGGAGCTAAAGAGGCTTCGTTTTAAGTGCTACCTAGGATGTGATTGAGGTGTACTTAAAGATGAGTGAATAATTCTCAGCACATAGAAAGATAGGTGAGATGATGTGTTTTGCATTTAAGATGTGGTCTCTTGGTTGCCAATTCAAGATATCTTCATAAATTAAGGAATGATTTGTGAGAGTTTGAGTAAAGTAGTTCAGTTAAGACTACCTGTAGACATTTGGACAAACTGTAATTTCAGATAATTACTTGGTGATGAGACCTGTGTTTCAATTTTAAATAGATTTTTTTCCCCAGTACATATGCTACAATTTATTTCCTGTCAGCTGCTGCTCTGCACGTTATTAATTAGGTTAATTTCATTAATCATAATTTGAAACATTTTTAGATAATCTGAATTTAAATACTATTTGTGTTTAAAATTACTCCAGCAGACTTGTATCAACCTTGAATGCAGTAGTTATCTGTATTCCTTTGACAAAGCTATTTTTCCAGCTTGAAGACAAGAAAAAGAGCGCAATTGTTTTGTAGCTGATGTTTCACATGCAACTAACTATCCAGGTTTTGTTAGCAAAGAACTCCATGAACTTTGCCTTTTAAATGATCTGTTCAAAAGCGGATAGCATTAGCATTAAAGAAATTTGCCCTGAATTCTTGTAGCATCATTGTGCTTTTTATCTCTACCTGAAGGAGCTGTAAAATGCCCCCAAACCAACTGTACCACTTCCAGCCAACGAAAGCTGTAACCACGGCATCGCAATGCTGTTACTGAACAGTGACCTAGTATGACAGAGAACTTGTGTTCACTGTCAGCAGTTCCAGCGTGGATGCTGGAAGCTATCACAAAAAAATTCTAATTTTCTGTATGAAGGAGGAAATATTATCTTCTTTGTGCCCTGTGTTGAAAGCTGCTGCTTCTTACTCCTTTCCCTCTGGTCTTACCAACTCTCCAACTTCATTACTCTACAGATTCAATGGAAGTGAAGCCTATTATGACAAGGAAACTGAGGCGACGACCAAATGATCCAGTTCCTATCCCAGACAAGAGGAGGAAACCTGCCCCTGATATCCTTTTACAGAATAACTGGAGGGCTATTGTATTTGAGGCCAGCATGCTACCTGCATCTATGTTGTTTTGTACAGGAAGGAAAATGAAACGAGGTGCTGGGATCAGATTTTAATCTAGGAAATACTGAAGTACAATTTGCCATGTATAATGTGTGATAAACTAATAAACACAACCAGTCTTTGGAGATCCCTCGGTATCCTAACTTAAACTTCACAGTGTTGTGAGATAATTTATTGGATTTTTTTTTTTTGTCAGTGAGAATAGTTTGAATTCTTCCGGCAATTTTTTTTTCACAAAGGAAAAACTTTAAAAGAACATTACATAAAAACGCTGAGTTAATTGATTCCATAGATAGTAACTGGCTTTTTACATGAGCCAAAGCTTTTCTCATTTCAAGATGTGACAAAACATTTGCCAGAAAGATCATATTTGTCATATCAAACTACTTTTTCCATTTCTGATAAAGGCTTCAGATCTCTAATCCAGGGATGCATAGCAAAAGCAAGGAGTGCTAGATTTGTTCTTTGAATTAAAAAAAAGATTAAAATCCATCTTGTTTTTATATATCACGAGAGAGAGAAAAACATGTATATGTAATCCTTCTTTTATGCCTTGTTGCATGTTTCTTATAATTAAAATGTTCTTTGGCTTCTGGAAGTACATTTTTAGCTCCTCTGTGATGATAGGCACTTTTTCTATTTGTATATTAAATTCACCTGGAAAGGAAGGCAATGATATTTGCTTTGCAGAGGCTTATTATTAGATTCCAAACTTGTATGGCTTAAATCAGATTAAAAAAACCTTATCTTACGACTTCTGAGTGACTCACACTTTCTGAAGGCAATATCAAACCTTGAACTTGTAGAGTTCATGCGAAGTGGTCACAAAGCATCTCCTGTTTTAATTAACCCCTTTATGGTTGGAGATTCTGTTCACTCTTTCAGGAAAACAAATCTATTTATTGGTGCCCCCATCTCATCCAAAATAAATGAGTTTCGTAGTGAACATGACCTACTAATTGAGCATGATACAGTAGCCACAGTATGAAACTCTGTCTGCCTTTCCTCACTGGGGAGAGGATTGAAGTCCATCAGAACCAAAATCCTTAAAATGCAGCCTAGCAATTGTTACTTTAATACTTCGAATACTTTTGACTTAACAGCTGTTTTGAAGAAACGCTGTAGATTAAAGCTGAAGAGAGGGTCTGCTGCTTTGAGTGTTGTTTTCCTTCTGTGTACTTAGTTCTTTCTTGTGTGGAAATGACAGAGGAGCAGCAGAAAAGGGAAGTAGGAAGATGCAATTGTGAAACTACACAAAATGACAGCAGAGCTCTTACAAGCTAAAATACAGCAACTTCTGTGTTCTGAGATTTTGTTTTTGTTTTCAGGTGAATGGTAGGCTCTTATTTATCCTCATCCACACAAGGATGTGTTTTGTGCCTCTGGCTTTATTTTCTGGTGGTTCTTTGAGTTTTTTTTGTGGGGCTTTCCCCTCTTCTCCCTATCTCTCTATTCCTGCTTACTGAGTTGCAAAATAATGAGTTTCTTTTCCTAGGTTCGGGTGGGATTTGGCTTCATTGTACAAAATCTGAAGTGAGTCTGTTGTTTCAGCTCCCAGCTTGTTCTCTACAGAAATGCAAGATGAAAAACACTGGAAACGTTAGTGCTTGATGCCTCCATGAAGTAAATGTCAATGCACTAAAGGTTTTTCATTGATGGTTATGTCTGAATAAGTTAAAATGATTTTGCACTCGTATTTGCTGCTAAATGTGAGGCTCTGTGGAGATGGACTTGTATTAATTCACATGACAAAACAAGCTCAAGTATGACACTTATTAAAATCTTATGCAACTTTACAGAAACCTTTTGGCTTATGTTTAGTCAAGTGAAACGTCATTGACCTTTAATTTTTAGCCTTGATTGTCAAGAGCTTATGGGAACCTTAATTCTGGATACCTCAGCTAAATTATTTGTTGACTGATGAGCAAATAATGGAGGACCTGAGAACACTGAATAAGGTAGGGATTATTGTTTGATTTGTATTTCTCTGTTTTAAAGAGAAAGCTAATGCTTTCACCTTAAGAGAACAGAGCTCTCTGTTTTATGTTCCTTTTTGAGATGTGGGACTACTTCATCCCAGTAGGCTTTCTGAAGTAACACAATAAAAGATTTAGCAAGATGGTATCTCCTCCCTTTTATTTTAATAGGTTTAATTAACCTAATTAAAATGACTGTCATCTAAAAATGTTACCCTTTGTCTGAACCAAGCGATGAGCTACCTTAAGGAGTTTCTTCCTTCCTCCGCACGGCTGAACAGATGTTAACATGTCTTTCTGTGAGATCATGGGCTGCCTCTGGTTTAGGCCTTAGTGTGGGGTGGTGTCTTCTAGGGTTTGTTTTTCTTTTTTCCTTTCTCCACACTGTCGTGATACTTCAGCAAACTGGATAGGGTGCAGTGTGTATGTTTATAGTTTTTCTGGATTTGATTAACCTACTGCTTTCTTGCTAAGCACTTCAAGGCTTACCTAATGTCTTATAATAGAGGCTGCTCGTTAAGGCTTTTGAGGATGGTAGTGGAGCATGGTTTTTGTGCCAGCTGTTGAGGTGTCTCTAATGATTTATCTCCCGTATTTCGTGTACCCTGAGAAATGTTGGATCATGTTCAAAAATATAGTGTGTTAGATGGCTCTAGTTTTGACTTGTTTTAGTGGATTATCTGAACGCTCTGACGTTCAGTTTGTAGACCTTTTGTAGCATGATACTGATTATCTACACCTTTGGCTGTTCATAGCATGCAGTTCTGGTTACGTGTTATGCCACTTAACAGTACATTTAAAAAAACCATTTAGAGTGTGGAAAGTAAGACTGTCTGAAATTATTACTGCAGACTTCTGTGGCTCATGTCAGATCTCTAATGCTTCTTTGCTCTCTTTCCATGTAGCTTAAATCGCCCAAGAGACCAGGTGAGTTAGCAGTTGCATTGGAACTTGTTCACAGTCATGCTGTTTTGAATAGAGAATTATATTGTAGACTTTTTGAAGGTACAATTGCTGATTGTGGTGTTTGACTGTATAATTGTTTTGATGGTGTAATTGCTGTTCTTTGTGTAGCTACTGTGGTGAATGGGTGCTGCGTGGAGTCTCTTCATCTGTTCTGAAGTTTGTCAGGGATGGGAAGGGAGGCGTGTGCATCTGGTGGCTCAAACATTTGGGCGTGGGACAATCTAACTGTGTAAAGAGGTTTTTCCATTATATTCAGATGCATCTGGGCAGCTTGCCTGCTTGTCAGGTAGATTGAGGGATTGGGATCTTACGGTTTTATGCTTTTAGTTCTCTAGATATGTCTGTACACTTCATTTCAAGACAGAGCGGTACTAACTTGTCTAAGTAATTCTGACTCTATTTACTTTAGATTAGGATTAAAAGAAAATCAAGGACATACTGTCTATCATCTACCTATCAATATTTTTTCAGATGAATGTTATATTTCACTGAATATTATAATTTATATACTCAAGGCAGAGGTTGAATTATTCGTCCCAATAGAGAATATTTTTCTGATGGAAACTTGAGTTTGCAGCTTTCTGTGCTTATTATTTCTGCTTAATATGACCTTATTAATTGCAGTTCTGCAGTCAGATGTGCCACTGTGTGCTGGACACATGCTGGTCTTAAACACAGTCTCTCTCCTGTTTTCAGCCTCTCCCTCCTCTCCCGAACACCTCCCAGCTACACCAGCAGAGTCTCCAGCACAGCGGTTTGAAGCCCGGATAGAAGATGGAAAACTCTACTACGATAAGAGATGGTAAGTCCTGGTACATTTCTGTTTTATTCACTCTGAGCCTTGTGTAGTGAGGAGACAAAGACTGCAGGGAGAAATTGCTTTGATAAAAGAATTTGAGGACAAAATGTTTCTGGGCGCAGGTTAGCCATTTCCTCCAAGGGCTAATCATTGCAACTTTGGTAAATCAGAAGCGATAATGGAGTGTTTAGACCTCATAGACTTTCAGGAGACACTACTGGCTCGAATAAAAGGAGACTTAAATCTTTTCCACACAGTCAGTAGTGCACACTGTGACACTTGGGAAACAATTTTGTCAAAACTAATGTTAAGTAAGAGAGCCACCAGCAGTCACAGTATGATGTAGCTGTGAAGCCGGTCAGCTAGGATACAGATACTCTGTGATTGCAGGGACAGTGGTGTTGGCAGTATTCGCAGTCCTGGTGTTCAGTTTTGTAGAACACTAGCCCATCGTTCCACAAGGTGGCAGAAGAAATGTTGTGCACCAGATGAGCAGAATGAAAAATGTTTCTAATAAATCCAAATAACCTTTAAAGATCAAACCCACATGGGAGAAGCAACTTCAGAATTGCTGATTGGATTTAGCTTTGTTAAGTTTTATGGGCATGTAGTTGTGCAAGCCTCACAAAACGCAAGGAAAATATTAAATTTTGCAGAGAAGTCTTAGTAGGTCTTAAACTTAATCTGTGAAACATGCAAAACTGGATAATCTAGGGGGCAATCTAGTACTCCTTGAGCAGAAAGCAAGTTGCAAGTCGTATGCTTATTTGTAGCCTACTTTGGTGTTCTGGTGGCTCAAAATAACAAGTGACGAGGTTGTAATTTTATCATGGAAAATGATAGGTGGGAAGCTTGTTTTCTACACAACAGCCATCTTGTACAGTTGGTCAGTTTTTCCTTCTGCTAGTCTTCTGACAGTGAAGTTTCATTGAGGATTCAATGTATACAACTCTGATAAAAGCTGCTGCCTGGAGCTTAAACTTCCATGAAGTGTAAAGCATGATATGAACTGAACAGGCTACTTGTCACTTCACAAATTCATTAAGTTCTTTTTTTGCTTTCATAATTTTTTTTTGTGTAAAGTGACTATCCTCTAGGATATATTTGGATGAATAAACTGTTCTTCAGAATTTTTAAGCATGTGGAGTACTGTAAAGTGTTGCATAAGTTTAAAAAAAAAAGAAGGAAAGATGGAATCTGGAGTAATCTGTCAGTAAAGCTCCCAAGCTCCCATCAAATTTAAACCTGGGAGAGCTTCAGTGAGCCCAGATGAACCTCTCAAAAGCACCAGCTCTCTCTGAAAGGTATCTAGTTGGGACATAAAACACTAACGGATATTTTCATCTTGCTGAATTCAATTGTCATGGGGCTCTCACTGTCAGGAATTCCAGCTGTTGCCTTTCCTGTCTTCCTTGTTCTTATGCTGTTTTAGGATAAGTATTTTATGTTTTTTGGCTGTAATAATCCTGCTTAGATTTTTTTTTTTTGATTGATAGTAACAGTACTTGTGCAAAGTAGCTGGTATTTTAAAATAATGAAGTAACTCTTGATAGTTGGAGGGTAATTTTTTCTAAGGTATATCAAGGCTGTAGCTGCTGGCATGCACCAGAAATAATAAAACTGACAGCTCAGGAGTGACTCCTTTCTCTGTTTCCTGACAGCAGCCATGAAGGACCATTATCTCAAAATAGTGAATGTTTAAGGCTAGTAATGGACTCCCTAAGGTCTTGCAGAGACACTTCACAAGCATATCTCCAAAGTGGAGACTTTGTATAGGGAGTTTCAGATGGATGTGGAATTAGACTTCAGCTTTTTATCCTCAGTCAGTTTGCTCCATCCCCCTCCATCAGATCCTAAAATACAGTTCACTGTAAAACAACCATCTTTTTGCTTTTAGCTTTGTCTGCATAAAATAACGCAGAGTGATTTCTTTCAATCTTCTGATGGAGATGCAGTTGAAAATCTTGGCCTTTCAGCAAAATATTTTGTAGCAGAAAGTGGAATTATTGCTGCTTGCCTCACTTGTCAGTATTGTGGTGTATTTTTACCTACTGCAAAAGCAAGAGTTGTTTGGCACTTTCCTTCTCTTGAAAGCCAACTTAAAATCCATTGCATTTTTCATCTGAAGTATTTTCCTCAGTTCTGCCCCTCTGTTCCCCTGTGGGTATATAAACTCGGCAAAAGGCTGAGACATGAACGTGTAACTGAGATGTACCGGGCTGCTGTGCCTTCAGCTGACCTGTCTCTCTGTGTGCATGGAGCGTGAGACAGTTGAGACAACTCTTCAATGAAAAAGCGCTGAGCTAACTTGTTACCTTACCTTTTCTGTGCACAGTTAACACAGACTTACTGGTGGACGGTAACTTGTGATGTGAAATCCAGGGGCTGAAGCCAGCTTCATGTCTGTCATTAGCTTTGATAATCAAAAATTGGGAGAAACAACTTTGAGTAGAAAAATCATTTCATTATCTGTGCCTGCACAGATATGACTCGAGAGCTGTCATTTGCAGTGGTATCTTCTGCGCTCGGAAGCTCATGCACTGATTCTGTCAACATCATCAATTCTCCTCGCTTAAGTGGTCACAGCATGGCGTGGTAGGACACTGCTGGACTGAGATTTTTATGTCTTATCTTAGTGAGGTCTGGTTTGTAGTAGCTTATACTGTTCCTTCGTATCAATTAACGATCATCTGAGCTCAGTAAACTTGAGATATTTTTTTGGCTCAGATCATTGCCGCTATTACATTGCCCTGGAACCCACTGACATCCTTTCTGTTAAAATGAGGGAGAAAGAATAATGTTTGGGCACAAGTATCTGAAGGCTGCAGAATTTGAGCGGTTTTTTACTACCTTGCCCAGCCCATTGGTGATGAGTACGTTTGGAAGGCTGAAAGCTGACACTATCATTCTTGCTACTGGCAAGCAGCGTGAAAATTCTGAGTACATGAGCCAGTAGGAAGAGATTATGGAATAAACTATTGGAAGACTTCCATATTTACAGTATGGTTGTTGTAGAAATAACTGTAAAGATTATGCAAATCCATGCATTTTGACAACTGGCTGTTAGCCAATCAGACTGCAGGGAGTTGCATACTCAGTAGTTGCTGAGGGAATCTCTGTGCAGTGATTCTGCAGCTTGGATTGCCCAATTAAATATGAAGCACTTCATGATTAGGGTAAAGGTGGAAATATAGTTATGCTTTTATAACTATAAAGCATTTTGGTAATCTTGATTAAGATTATTTACTTACAAATAATCTGTTTCAGTATAATTAGTTCTGCCTACGGAACTTTCCTAGGCAGAATAAACAGAAACTTGGGAGTTTTGTCTAGCACACTTTGCAGCACTTACCAGAAACATGGTCTGCGAAGAAGGCAAGACCATGAAATTAAGCAATTCAGAGTTACGAATTTTGAAGTTTTTACTTCTTTTTATACAAAATGCGCTAAGAAAAATATATGGCATGACTAAAATATGATCTAAAAGGGGGGGGGGGGAATGGATATGCTTAGACACGGCCTCCTTATGGCAGGTATATACAGCTTCTTACGGAGTCAGTTACCCATCGCTTACCACTTGGGATATTTTCACAAAATAAGACAGTATTGGAAATGTGAGATCTCTGTTTAAGCAATAGACTGCAGTGATAAAGTACAATTCACTTCTTTTGTTGTTGTTGGTGCAGTAGTAATTTTGTATTGGGGAATGTGTATAACTTTTTAGTATCTGTGATTTGCTCTGTCACATTTTATCAGGCGTGTGGAGTTGCCTTCTAAAATCCATCCTGTGTCTGAAATGTGAAAGGCTAGTTTGATTAACTCTTGAAACATGGGCTTATTGCCAGTCAGTGTTCTCCTATCTTGTGGCTTGGTGCTCTGCCTCTCCCTCTTTCAGATGTGAAATCTGTTTTCAGTAATCTGCATACACGATTGAATGTGAATTGAGAGGGCTTTATGTATTCTGAAGCACCATTTAAATGCAAAGTGCGTGTGTGTAGAATCAGACCACCCCCTACGTTGGTGAAGATGGGGAAACTGGTGTGGGAAGAAAGACAGACTTCATATTTACTCTATCCAAATGCTTGTAGAATCCTAGCTTTATCAGCCTTACTGCTGTTTCTTTTCTCAATCTTTGGATGGCTAATAGTTTCATGTGTTTTGGTGTTGTTGTTTTTTTATTATTTTTGCAGGTACCACAAGAGCCAGGCTATTTACCTGGAGTCTAAAGAGAACACTAAGATCAGCTGTGTGATCAGTTCTGTGGGCGCCAACGAGGTAGTGGGCCGCTTTGTTTTTCATGGGAGTGGGGAAAGCTGTGGGTCAGTGTAGGCAGGTGGATGGCTATCTATTAGGGACTAAGAGAAAATCAATACTACTTTCAGAAAATATGTAGTTGTCTGGTGTCTAAAGAAGCTGAATCCAAGATAAAACTGAGTTGAGAGATCTCTTGAGATAGATCTGAGATGGGAAGAGACTTGCTGTGTTTCTAAAGAATTATCTTAACATTTTGCAAGTAGTATTTTGGCAGGCAGGGAAAATGGGGAGAACTGACACTTTACATCTCATTGGCACTACATTCATAAGTTCCATTTCCATTATTTCAAGAACATACATACAGTTATTATTCATGCAAAATTTAAAAAAAAAAGAAAATTCCATTGGGAATCCAGAACAGGATGAGGAAAAATTTTTATCACCAAATTTAGTTGTTATAAGGGGAGAAAATTCTTCCTGCTAAGCTGAGTACATGTGTTGTGAAGTAAGCAGGCAGCATTCATCACCTACTTGGGAGATAGGGCAGGTGAGTCATTTGTCTGAGACAATTTCCTTGTGGCCAATGATTAAGGCTTCGAGAAGCAGGTGAAGAGGTGTGTGCATAAGATTGATGTGACTCTTGCTGCAAAATAAGCTTAGTGCTTGAGCAGTGCATCAGTTGGGCAAAGGGAGCAGTTTATTCTTTGCTTGCAGATTCCAGACACTTCAAGGAAAGAAATGATAGACTTGAATGCACTTCTCTTCAATCAGCCAATGAAGTAACTTTAGTTTGTTTTGGCAGCTAAGGGAAAATATTTTGTTTTCAACAAAATGAGTTGAATATGGAACGTGTTTTGTATCACAACTGTTCTCCTTGCAATAACAGTTGTTACGCTCAACAGTTGGCTATTCAGATAAAGTAGTAGTAGCTTGCTAATGGATGCGTTTAATCAAATTAGCAGTATTATATTTTTAAGTTATTACTGTTACCTTAAAACATTAAAACTCAATCTTTTGGGAGCATCTTACCTGAAACACGAAGGAAATGCAATCCGTTAATTATAATTGCATGAATTCCACTTTAAAGTGAGACGATAGGTTTCGTTTTAGTTTTGTGGGGTTTTTTGAGAGAGACTGGGGAGGAGGCATGGCAATTGTTTGCCCTGTGATAGTTTGTTGCAACAAACATATATAAAAGCCAGGGGAGATAAATATTTAACAGAATACTGAAATGAGAAGGTGTTCTCTTAGGAGTACGATGTGCACATCTCAGATTTCATCACACATTCAAAAGCATGGTTGCCAAACTATGATCTTACGGGGTCCTGCTTGAATTTAGAAGCTAGAAGGCAGACCTAGATTTGAGGTCTCTAATTGTAGACTGGAGTCAAAAGTTGATAGCATTTCTAAAGGAAGTCAAGTTACTCAAAGGAGCTTTACCGAAAATATTTGCACAGAGTGTCTCCCCACCAGCATTTCCATTAATGCTTGAAGTGAAAAGACTTAACTAAGAAACATCAGAGACATTATGGCATACAGTTGCCTTCTTGTGGCTGGGGAAATGAAGTAATTCACAGTGTATCAGATCATCTTTGTTCATACGAAGGTCTAAATCAGTTTTCTTAAACTGGATTTGAATTTTGTAATTGGCTAGGGGCCTCTCTGACTCAGAGTCTGAGCTATGATGATCCCCCTTAAAAAACAAACCAAAAATATCTTCCCAGGCCTGAATTCTTTAAAACTCGGTGATGTGTTTAGATCTAAACAGAATATATTTCTATTACTTCCAATGTGATTTCCTTGGAAACTGTGAATCAAATACTGCATTGGTGGAAATCATTGGCCAAGTGCATGGAACAATTCAATCATTTGCCTTTTGATGATAAACTCTTCAGTACGTGCAGGAAAGTTTGTTTTGGTTTTTTTTTTTTATTCCCATGAGTTTATTCAGCAATCTCAGTTTGTTGAAAGTTGAAAAAAGAAGGAAGCTTATTTTTCTTTTACAGTCTAGGAATAAAAGAAATTCATAGTTGGATTTGGTTCTTTCTATTCACCATCTCCTTCAGTTCTTTAGAATTAATAGATGTTATCTTCTGATTGCAAAATACATTGTATGTCTAAAACATCAGTTTTAAGCTCAGAGTATGTCTTGATGCTTTTATTTTTCTGAACTGTGTGGCACATTTTGGTGTCGATAAGTAATTTCACTGTTGTGGTCACTTAAAACTGAATTCTAATTTTCCTCCAAATGGAACTTAACAAAGCGGTTAACTTTAGCAAAGCAAATATACCATTCTATCATATTGTGATAGATTGTAAAACTGTACATGTTTGTTCTGTACAGTTGCTCAGAGTTTGTAGATTTAAGAATTCTTTTGGTTAGTAAAACATACTCAATTCTTGGAAACGTTGCAGTGGAGAGATGATTATCAATGAAGTTGGATTCTAATTTCTCTAGAGAAATAACTGAAGTACCAATGCAGGCAAATATTAAATTTATTTTAAATTGAGGGCTTCTGCTAGTAAAGTCAATTTATAATTAAAACAAGAGTTAAATCATTCAACCGTGCCCAGCCTGTAGCTAATATGGTATCTTAAAAAAAAAAAAGTTTTGGATAAATCGCATGCCAACACTAACTTTGTAGTCCTTTGCAGTAGGCAATATTGGACTTCCATCCTAAAATATTCTAATACTAAGAGCTGGATAACTCTTATTTTCCATGCATTTATTTAAATATGTCTAAACGCATTAAAATGATAAAATCCAGAGGGGTTTTTCTTGGATTTGATTTTTAAAGTACAGGTATTTGGGTCTAAACTTTGTGAGTGACTTTTATTTTTTAAAAATTCTGAGTGGCTGCCTCCATGGAAGCCATTTGTCCTTTGAAACATACTGTGTATCAGCAAGTTATGTGAATTCTTCCATGCAGGTGTTTAAAAAAGAGGCCCTTTTATCTTCAGATATGTTTTATTTAATACATTGAGAGAAATGCTTCACTGAACAAAATCAGAATAAGCTTTTCATTTGACTAATAGCTACTTGTCTGGGCAAATCCCAGGATAGATAACTTTATGATCTGTGGATCTGGAGAGACTTATTCTTGATTAGGTAAGCTTAATGCCAGAGTTCTGTTGCGAACTGTAGCAGAAGGAAACTTGCTTTCCTGATGATGCTTGGAAAGAGTAATTTTTCTTTATGACTGTTTTGAGCAGGAAGTTAAGGTGGTTAGAAACCTTATTTCGTTTTCTACTCAGGTTGCAAATGCCTCGTGTGGGGAGGGAGAAGGGCTTAAGCTAAATCATCTGTGCACCCTGAGTAACAGAGATGTTCAGATCTGGCAATAAGAATACCTGGACTTACTTGTCTGTGTATTGCTTACTGTGGGTTTTCCCTTTTTCTCCCCAATATATCTCTCTGCCCCTTTCTTTTTTCTTTTTTTTATGCAGATCTGGGTGAGGAAAACCAGTGACAGCACAAAGATGAGAATCTATCTGGGACAGCTGCAGCGAGGTGTTTTTGTGATTCGTCGACGATCAGCTGCGTGACTGTATGCTCTTCCTTGGTTTTTGTTCTTTTTTTTTTTTTTTTTTTTTTTTTTTAAACGGATAGACGAACCTCTAATGGGAAATGGCAGTCTGTTAATTCATCTTAGCAGCAGAGAACGCTGTCATGACCTCTTACGAGACAGTTTGTGGCTGGCCACATAATCCCCAGTAGTCCTTAAATCTTTAGTGATACCCAAGCACTGCCCTGGACTATTTCTGAATTTTTGCATCAAGCTTCTGTATGCTTTCTTTACATTTTGGGTGACTATTTAAGAAGACTTCGCATCATACTTTTTTCATCATTGTTTCATGGTGCATAGATGGGACTCGTATGTTGAAAACAACGTAACATTTATGTTTTGAATCAGACCAATGGAAGAAGCTTTGCTTGTCAAGACCTGAGGTTATTCGTTCTTTTTGGTTTTGTTTTCCTGCAAGGCTCAGGATGTTGGGCAAAAGGAGATTAATCTTGCCAGCTTTCAGCTGCAGCCGAGAGATACATCTGTAATACCTGATGTATGACATCAGCTTTATTGGATGAACTGTTTAAAGACTTGAGCACTGAGGCTTTTTTTTTAGGAAAGTGTGAACAGCTTAGAAACTGCTGAAAATCCAGTTGATTTTAATGTAGTTAAGCAGTCACATGTGGTTAATCAGAAGCTTCCATTTCTCTTCACATTAAAAAACCCTTCAATGAACAAGCAAAGAGTTACTTGCTGAAGTAATTTCCTGAAATAGGTGGATGAGTATAAACCAAAGGATTAATTAAGTGGACTTTGCAGATAGCGAGACTATATGAACCGTATGTATGACTATAACCACTCATACATGTAGAGAGATGAAAGGTAAATGTCACTTTCTTTACTGATGCTTAGAGTAACAGGTCATGCTGGAATCGTGCTGACAGAAGATACTGGATCTGTTGTATCTTTCAAAGAAGCCTGGTACAGAGTAGAAAACAGCATTGACATGCTTTTAGCGTATAGCTGAAACCTTCATTCCCTAAAATGTCATGCAAAGGTTTCCCTTTGAAGGGTATTTTAATTACTGGAGATAACACTGAGTTTCTGCACTTGCCCTCCAATAGCACAAGTGAAAATGCTCAAGTGATTATATTAATATACTCCCTTGCGAGATGCTTAAAGATCTGACTCTGGCATTCCTTTATTATTCCCAGCATTCTGCTGATGGCTGAAACCACCAATACCATGTGTGACTGCACTGGCATGAACTACACAGGGCACTGGCAATGCTGTCAGATCTTTGCCTTCTGTGCGAAAGAATTTTGTGCTCCTTTTGATTACCAGACAAAAAGTTGTAATTTCTGCCTTTATCGGTATCTGTTGCTTTGAGGCATCTTTCGGTTTTGCTTTTGAACTGCCTTCTTGTTCAGCATCAGTCTAACCTTTCTTTCATATCTGGATAAATGGAGTATTTTAAATGACTGTTTCCATTTCTTTTCCTTACTGCAGTTGGGTGGCAGTCACATCCCAATAACTGATGTATGTATGTGGATCAGGAGTGGAGTGTTATGGCTGAGTTTCTGATGTGTTGCCTTTGTGGCTGAGACACCGTACCTGTTTTTACTGTGTTTAGAGTTTCAGCTGGATCTGGAGCCTTGACAAGGAAAGGAGAGGGTGTCTGTCTCCCACCCCTTGAAAATGTGCCATCTTTGCTGCAGCGTTAGTCAGGTGGAAAGCAGCAGGCTGTGTTTTGTCAAGTTAACAGCGTACTTAATATAACAGCATTCTCTGCACGTGTGACAGGTTTTTAATAAGGTGATGATGTACCAAACAGGATTTGTCACTGAGCCTTAAAACGAACATCATAAAAAGTGCTAGGTAAATAGCAGGATTTATTTCCTACCTATATTATTTTATCAATATATATGTTTGTGGAAATAGCTGGGAACTTTGATTCAATTTTGGGGAGATATTTTGCCAGCCTGCTAACAGCAGGTGATCTCTCTGCTGCTGTGATGTTATCTGTTTTGGGGTAGCTTTAAAGGTATTGGCAGAAGCATGGAAGTGCAGCAGCTCTCTTAGAGCCAGGCGTGGTATAGGTGCACATTGTGTAAGCCTAATTATGTAGCTTTGACACGACATCTTAATCTGAATCAACATCATCTGCTCACCATCCCTATTCCTTGGCAGAAGCGGGGAAAGAATAGCTGCTCTCACAGCCAAAAGCCTGTCTTTCAATCAGCTGCGGTCTCACATTGGAGGGGGGTGTGATGGGATGGGACACACATTTCTAGTTCACACCCCAATCAGAATTTGCATAGTCTTCTGGAAGCAAATACCTGTGGGACTGTTGCACCATCTCCCTCTTCTGTAACGCCCTCTGTGGACGTGCAACTGTGCTGAGAAAGTTACTGTTATCACAAGGAGTCATCTCGTGTTGTTGCAGATAATCAAAGAGTGTAGCCTTGGACTGCAAGCTGTAGTGGGAGAAAACAAGCTAAGAAAGAATGAGGACAGTGAGCCGTCAGGGTGGGAAGGAAGAAATTTAAGTGTACTGTTGCATTGACTGGGGAGATGGGTTGCGTAAACTGATCCTGATTGAGGGCAGTGCTTCACCATGGAAGTTGTCAAAACTTGATCTCAAATTCTTACTCTACTCTTTCATGCCCATCTTGGATCTCCAGGAAGGATGCGTGAGGTTTGTACAGCTCCTTTCTGTCAGAGTTCCTTGCCCATTGCCAGTTTCCCCAGTGCCCCTGGATCAACCTTTTAACTATATAACTTCTGCTGTTGACAGTCCTGAGTGTGGGCTCGTAGCCCTCTGTGCTCAAATTTAACTGCTACACTGAAAGTATTTTGTTTTAAGGCTACTTCATCCTTAGTTTCTTTTTTTTAATGAAACGAAAGTCTTTCTTGCCTTAGTTGATCACCATAAAAAGTAGATGTCTCCTCTAACAAAATACATGAATATTGTATCCTGTTTTATCAAGCAGGCTGTTCTGTAACGGCCTGTGCCATTTACAGGGCTGAAAATGATAAAAATGCAGTGCCTTATTGTGCAGTCAGAGAAGCAGTACACTTTTTTTAATCCTAGAAGGATGCTCAAAATGTGTTGTGACGAGGATGAGGCATGAGGAGATCAAGAGTACAGACATCAGCTGTAGAAATGAAGATTTCCTGCCACTGGTTGGAAAAATAGAGACAAGTTACTGAAGGAGTTGGACAAGGTCTTGCTTAAATTCTAAGAGAAAAATTGGCTCTTCTGTCTGTAATTTGCCTGTCTAACATCAGTCTTTTGAAGAATTCAAACCCTCAGTGAACAGAAATGGCTTTGCAGCAAGTATGAAAAGATTTAATCCTCATTATGAGCAGCGTTTAAAGTAAATTTAAGAAATGGTTTTAGCTCCCAGTTACAGTAATTTTAAAGAAAGGTGAACCTTCTGCCAAAAATAGACTTTTATTGAGGGTTAAATTGTAGTTGGATGTTGACTCATATTAAGCATTTTTTTCATTGCCTTGAGAAATGGACTGTGATTTCTGTCAAGTGCAAAATAAAAAAGATTCTGCCCCCCTCCCCCCCGCCATTAGACGTTCAAATGGACAGGAAGCCAGATCAGTGAACCAACTTCCAGTGGCTTTTTGACATCACACTCACTGAAAGGTTTCAAAAGAGGCTTTTTCCTAGGATGAATGTTAATAAAAGAAATTGTCTTTTTTAGCTCATGTGCTTTGTCTGGAATTTTGTAAAGAGACAAAGTGACTTAACAACAGAAGTCGTGATTGTTTGTAATTTTTCATACATTCCTGGGCCGCTTACGAAAATAAAGCCTAAAAGAGCAAGAAATTGCCGTGACCCTTCTGAATAACAGAGGTCCTTCCTCTTTCAGAAGAAGAAAAATTAGAACACCTTTTGGGTTCTCGTTCCACAGAAGTAAATAGCAAATGCTAAATGATTAAGAAAACCTGAATGGGTGTTTAAGGTTTGCTGTTACCAGTTTTAGTTTGTCCAATTCTAAAACTAAAAATATATTGTATTTAGAAAACAAAAGAATGAGTATTTCCATTTTTCTATGATTTATTGAAAACCCGTTGTCGCTGGAACTTCACATTTCATTCAGTTAAAGAATTCCACTATTTTAATGTTATGCTGAATTTGGGAAACACCTTTAACACTTAACATCAGCTCAAATTTGGGATGCCAAAGTATGTTGTAATACCTTAAGTACCTATCTCTTTACAGTGGAGTCAATGCTGGTATTTAGATTCCTCCTTCTTATGCACGAATGCTTTTCTCTAAAATATTCTTGATTTCAGTTTAGTTAATAAATGTGTGTAAAGAACTGTTCAGGTTTGTATTACTTCGTCAAGAGCAAAAAAAACCACCACAAAAGGCTTTGGGTTTTTTCCCTCCGATCAGATGTTAAGAAATAAGTGGAGGGGAGAGTGGCTCAGAGAAACCTTGTACCCTGGGACCAAAATTTGAATAACATTTAGGTGACAGAAGACATAAATGCAAAATATTTTTCAATGGTGTGTGTGTATATAAGCAGGGTGGGTGTCTAAACTCCCCTCATACAAACGAGACACTGAACAGCAATACAGGGAGAGTTACTTAAGCCTGTGGTTCTAAAATAGGAATGCTTTGAGCAAAGCCAGTCGTTTTTAGGGCTTTGGAACCAAGAGATATAACCCCCTAGAAACAGCTACTGATTTATTTAATCAATCTTAAATTTGAGACCTATGAGTTGTCCCGTATGCCTAAGGTAGCTTTGTCATTTTTCATTTAGTTCTAATTTGCATCCATGTGTTCTGCCCCAAATCTTGAGAGGAAAAAAAATAAGACTAGAAAGCGATGAAACACATTTTTCATTTCACTTTATTAATGTTCCTTATTTTTATTGAATTAAGATTCTTGTGACAGTGATGATAGCCATTAAAACAGCAGAGATCTGCAGGCAATCCCAGTTAATGAAAGCTAATGATCTTTAATGAACATAAATACAAATGCAAATCAAGGTTGAAATCGGCGTCTTAAATCAAGGTTTCTGCTTGACGGTTTAAATCCTGTTTGGGATTGGTGACTGAAAGGTGTCAGAGCGAACAGATGGATTGCACTGACTAACATGGGTTTGGGGAGCGGTTGGCTCAGGACACGCGGCTGTAGCTCCGTGTCTGCTTGCCTCATAAAATTAAAAGGTAGGTGGAGTTTTTTGTTTGTTTGTTTTCAGGGAAGTAGTGGATGTCTGACAAATAATTCATTTCTGTTGAAACAAATAGTTGAAGGTGGCTGCTGATCATGTCAGAATACTGAAGAACTATTCATTACGGGGAAGAAATATCCTTTGCCCATGAACTAAATTTTAGTGACAGTACGTCATAGTCACATGCGGGTTTTTTTTCTTTTCCAATGTGATGAGAAAGCAATGTTCCAAATCTCGCGCATCATGAGGCATCAGGTAATGGGGAAAAGTCTGAATACTAATGATACTAAATCATGTAATATAGTTGCACAAAATTAGTGTAAACACAGAGGGCAAATATTCTGATAAGGATTTCTGCGGTACTAAAAAAAAAAATCTCATCCCTTGAAATTGGGAATTACTAAACCCCTTGGTTTAAGGCTGTCCTGAAGACCATAAGACATGGCAGAAGAGTTTCACATGTAACTCGGGACGCAGGGGTGCACGCTCTGTTACAGTATTTCAGCACTAGAGCATTGATCAGGTCTCATTCTGTACCAAGTACGGAGTTTTGCAGTTCAGGAAAGGGAAATAACGTGGCAAAGCTGGCAGGATAGTTACCAGTCCTGGCTCAGCCTGTTGGTCTTGTTCTTCTCCCCTAAGAGAACTCAAAACTATTGATTTGTTTCCTCTTTCAATGAAAATGACTCTTTTGAGGAGAGCTTGGAAAGTCTGGGTGAAATACAGAAATAAAGTCCCCGTCCCCTGGTCTCTGCCTGAAGATGGAAAAACCTTGTCCCAAGGAAGGGACAATTGACTGGCAATCCCATGAGTGGCTCTGCCACGACAGGGCTTTGCTCACTGAGGATTTCACCCACCCGAGGAGATACGGGTGCTTGCTTGTCCTTTCCAGGCACTGTGAAGATGAGTATTTAGCAGATATTCCGGGATGCAAAGCTGCAGTGTTGGTGCCCTCTTCCCTGGACCGCTGCTGTGGTGTGTCTGGGCAAGGGAGGTCCGGCTTGTGGGAAGACTGATCGCTGAACTGTCCTTGGAGGGAACGGCTGGGGTTAGCGTGGTGAGGAGTTTCTGGAGCATTTAGCAAGGTTTGGCACCTCTTTCCTCTGAGGCTGACTTTCTCAAAGAAGTCTAAGGGTTTAATTCGCTCTGAAGTAACTTTGAGAGCCATAGGGAGCACGAAAGATGCAGCAGCACGTGTTCTGGACTGGCTTGTCACAGTGCCTTCTCATGTGGCTGTCCTCTGCTACCCGAGTGCTTAAGACCTTGGGGAACATATCGATAGACTTGCCTTGTAATGGATGTGAACAACCTTAAATACCGGCTGCAGCCTTCACAAGGCGAGCCAGTTCCTGTTTACCGTTTGGTGTAACTGAAGGTATTAATCTGCAAAGCCTCTGAGCGCAGAGGGGTTTTTCCCTTTCCATCAGAGAGCCTGACAGGTACTCCATCTCAACTATGCCTCAGCTCTTTGTTGTATCTGTCATATTCCTGGGCCGAATGACAGAGCAGTGAGGTGCTTCTGGTGGGTGCATTTCCTACCTGTGTAATGGGCATCTAATTAATGGATACAGCCAGTCAACCGAGCAGAAGTACGAGCCCAGAAGAGGCAGTCATCTTCTCGCTCTTTCAGCCAACCGACTGTGCCTGTTACAAAGCCCTGTTCAATGTTGTTGTTGCA